GGAGAAAGTAGAATCATCCTTTGAAAGTGTCTGAAAGACACCCCTATGAGGGAACCCCATAATAAGAAGATGATACGCAGGAGACCAGGTATACTCTTTGCCCAGATGTGGAAAAGGTGAGACTGATCCGGGTGGACAAATCTGAGGAGCACATCCCAATGTGGCAAAAGAAGGTATGTGCTCCAAGGTGTAGAGTGGCTAGGACCGTACACGGCAAGTTAACTGCATCCAAAACTCGACCACCGGGAACCAGCATCCATGCGGGATAGGAAAGAGGATCATATCATCTTCAACTCAAGTTTACATATGACACATGTGAGCAGAAAAAATACATAGATATCCCACTCAAATCAAACAGACCTGTACCACCTCAAATGCAGTAACATCCTCGACATAAAGATATTGAGGGGTAGCGCAAGAAGAAGTGGAGCAACTACCAAGTGCACCAACTGTGACCCACAGCACTGGAGTAATGCACTCGATTGCTCTGATGGGAAGACACCCATGGTGATTGAGGAGAAAAAGGAGGCAAAACAAATAAGTCAATTGAATTAAAAGCTAAACCCAATTGGAAAAGATAAAAGGAGAGATATCACAAACAGGGAATAGTTGCCAAGGGTTGAATAGACGGGAATGGTTATGAAAGAAGGAAGTTGTGTGGGTGATATAATAATGAAGAGCACAAACGGGACATAGAAGTCTATTCGGAACAGACCTAGGATAGAGTTTGGAAATGGAAGGAAGAGAAATCTGAGAGATGGAGGAACTATCCTCTCGAGCCGCCAAAGTCTTGGGAAGTAAAGATCAATCCAGGTAAAGAAGATAAGAATAAGGATACAGAGTACATGAAACATCAGTGGCAAACAACTCAGACCAACGATGTCAACAGGACAGAAGGAGGAGGAAATGTGCCTTAAGGGATAAATTAAACATAGAACAAGAAGACAAAGGTTCAAACAGAGGTAAAGTAAGGCAGTGGTTTGGTTTGTTTTTCTTGATTTCGTGCAAAGCTACATGAGGGCTATCTGCACTAGCTGTCTCGAATTTAGCTGTGAAAGACTAGAGGGAAAGCAGCCAGTCATCACCACCCATCGCCAACTCTTGAGCTACTCTTTTACAATGAATAGTGTGATTAACCATTACATTATAATGCCCCCATGGCTGAAAGGGCGAGCATGTTTTGTGGGATGGGGATTCGAACCCACGACCCTCGGATTGCGAGTCGAGCGCCCTAACCACCTGGCCATGCTGGGCCACGAAGGCAGTTAAGCACCACATTGAGAACCCAATCCGGAAGATCCACATGCCGTGGAGAGGAACTAATTCAGAAAGAACATAACAAGAGTGACAAGGTATGGGAGGTTAAAACTTTATGGTACAGGGAAAACGAAAAGTATAGGATAAACCTGCCCAATAACCTGTGATTGAGGAGACTGAAGACTTCTGATCAAATAACCAAATAAGGCAATCTATGGTTAGAGGAACAGTGGGACAAGCAAGGGAGAACCCATGACCCAAAGACCAAATGACAGAAAACGTTCCATTTATGTTGATAAACCTCCATGGAAGAAGGTCAAACTAAATGTGTCAACAAAGAAGCTACACATCGTGATAAACTGGGGTTCCTCTCCAAGGACCTGATAAAAACCAGACAAAGAAGACAAAGGGTAGGAATGGCAGGATGAACTACCTGGGCCTGAGGCAGCCATAGAATGGAAGGAGTGCTGGTAACAGGCAATGGTGGAGCAAATTGGGTCTGGAACAGCTGTGGAAACCACAACTGGACTGGCCAATAGGGGCAAACATGGAGTGGAATGGATGATAGAAATTGCCCTGGGGAGGAATCAGATAGGAGGATACATTGATCATGAAGAGTCCATTGAAGGGATCTGGGATCTCATATGAGCACAACCCATGGGAATAAGTGCCACCATAGAGGGTCACATCCCCAAAAGAGATAGAACCTCACGAGCAGTAAGGGCATTGATGACTGCCAGCTCCATCGGATGGAGTCAAAGAGGAGAAGGTTGGGCCAAACTGAGATGAATGTTGAACAAAACACTCAAATGGATAACATATTGGGTAAGAGTAAGGAAGGATTTCTCCAACTTCATCAACCAATCGACCTGAGCTGCCTCCAAAAGAAGCAGACGAGTGTGTTTGGTGGACTCCAGTTTGGAATGAGCCAACAGAAGCCATTCGTTCATGCAATGGTGGAAGCACAACCCTCAAGTGAATAAGTTCGACAAAAGCCCTGACCACCCAACAAAAGACATACAGTGCTGTTGCAAGCCCGAAAGGAAGAGCACAAAATTGATAAACCACACCTTGATGAACAAACCAAAGGTAGCATCTCGACTGCTGTGATATGGGAATATGGAGATAAGCATTCGATACGTCGACCTTGGTCATTCATAAATCTGGAGAAAACTCCCACCTGAGAGTGAGAAACGACTCCATGGTAAAATGAGGTAGAACCATTAAGTGATTGAGGCGTGACAGATCGATCACTGCCTCCAGTCTCCAGTTTTTTTTGGGACAACAAGCAGCCAGGAAGGGTAAACCACAGGTTCGATGGCATTTTGAGAGAGGTACTGACATGTAGTAGGATCCCGAGGGAACAGAAAGGAAATGGGTATCTGAGACAATGGAGAAAAAAAGCGGAAATTGATGACAAGTCCCTCAGATAAAACCTGAAGAACCCATGGATCCATGGCGAAATCACGCCACCAATGAACAAACTGGCATAAACAAGACCCCACTGGACTGAAACCTACAGGGTAGTCACCGAGACTGTTGGTGATGTGACACTCAGCACTGAATAAAACGACGAGAAGAAGAACCCCCATATGGGAGGAACAGGTAAGAGTTGGAGAGGATTATAATGGAGAACAGAATTAGGGGATGGTCCAGGCTCCATTCGAGACAAACAATCAACCAACGAGGAAAGATTCGATTGCTATCTCACAGATTCCACTCGGGATTCCAAAGTCGCTGAAAGATCTCCAAACACCAACCAATGGAGAAAAGGGGTGAGGTGTACGAACCAAAGATAAGGAGATGGCAAATGAATGTGAGACAAAATTGCGTCTCTCCCCCAAAAATCCCAACAACAGAGGAACCACGTGTGTAAAAAAAAGAGTTGAAGTCGAGAAATATGTCAACAACGATGTAATTAGAGCAAATTTATCACCCCAAAACCCTTAGGACTTCAATGGATTGCATCGGAAAGAAGGTGTATGGTGGACAAGTACCATAAAATAGACGTGAGGGTAAGACGAAAGCGAGAAAATTGGGTATGGTACAAAAGAACAGTACAATCAGGGTCTGCCTCTGAAACAGTTAAAATGGAT